CCCAATTTTTTAAGTATATGTATTGTAGGCAATCTTGACTGGCAAATGGACAAACGTACGATTGTATCCAAGTGTATACAACTACGCTGCATCCATGTGGACGAACGCATTGAACGCAAGCCGAAACACTGCCGCAGCACCGCCTTCCGATAGTCGTCTTTGCAATCATATATGGCCTTATGAATTAACGAGACTGCATTTCTCGTTACGCTGATAAACCTTGTTTGCAAAACATCTGGCCCCGGACGAGCCGGCTCGCGTGCATTATGCTCCATTATATACCAGGCTTGGCTTTCATTCGTTACCAAAACAAGAAAGTCACTGTAACGAGCGCGCGTGTGTGTGCAATAATAACCCCCTCATCTGAGGACCAATTAAGGCACGGGAGGGGGGAGAAAGTGGCACAGCCATAAACTTATTTACGAGACTGCAATCTACGCTCTCTCACCGTAATGTATAAAAAAAAAAAAAAGAAAAAAGAAAACTAAGATAAAGATAGCGCGCGTCTCTACGGTCCAAGAGCATGACCGTTTGGTCGTAGAACAGACGGCCGAGAGCTAGCGACTATAATCCATTTACATATTAACAACAGCCAAGGGACGACTCCTGCGAATCTCCAGCCAGAGAACAGTAGGTACACGCGCTCCCACCGCTGGCCTTCGGAGAGAGATTATACGCTGCTCCTACTTACGTACATTTGGTAGCTCTGTAGCCGCGGATTCCACTACTTATATGGGGCGTTTTGCATTTTTTCGTTGTTTGCTTAAATATACGCTTCGGTTCATGCAACGGTATTTGTTTCGTTCGTGCATGAGACGGGTGAGGAGGAGGAAACAAGGATTTAGATTGTACACTTTTGGTGAAATATCGTGTATTAATAGGTGTTTTTGTTGCGGCTGGCTTCTGAACACCAACTTGATTTGACTGATTGGACGGCATCGTTGCGTTGAGTGGATTATAATTGAAAGCTGGAAACGTGTGAGCTGTGCCATTGAAGTTACAATTATTTGTGGGAAAACGTGATTTGTTTCTCTTGCCGAATCGTATACGCAAGTGTAATATATTTCTTCAAACGTATCTTTTCAATCATATCAATCTTTTAAGGATAAAAGTACCTTTTTCCAATCCACGTCGTATGTTATCTTTCTAAGTAACGATAACACACGACTCTCGATGGAAAGATGGAAAAAAATTTACACTTTGTCGTGAATGAATCTACTGAAAATAGAAATGAAATACGTAAAGACAATGATGCCTGACAATCCGCAAGCGAAAGAGTTGGCAACGTATGAAAAAAAAAAAAAAATCAATGCAGCGAGTAATACCGTACTTCGAGCGGCGATGAGCAAAACGTAGGAGTCTCCCCTCGGGAGCTGCTACGCGAATCGAATGACCGACGCGGCCGAGCGTAAGTGCCGGGTCCGTGTGTGCGCAACTATACAGAGACCGGACACACCACCATCATCGTAGTCGCATGTATATATTTGCGCGTGCTTTTTTCCCCCTTTGTTGGAAAGAACTCGGATCGATGCCACGAGTCTTTCAAAGCCAAAGGCGCGCCACAACGTCGATAAACAGATACGCGACCCCGGCGATATTTTTTATTTAAAAAGTTGCCCCGCACTGGTATGCACAAAGAGAATAATGGACTTTGTTTGTACCTCGTTCCCCGGAGGGGGAAAAGAGCAACAAACCGGGACAGCCGCGTCTTGCCGAACTAATTGCTGGAAAGTTTTTTACTACACTCGTATTACCCCTCCTGTCTCACCAAACACCATTTGCAAAGGCGAAACGGCCTCTGGTCCAGTTGCAACGACCACCAATGACAACTTTTCTTCAGTCACCTACAGGCAGCATGAAATTCAATTATCTTAACAACTCCTTTTCCTGCATCCCCTTAGCTTATGTGTAAGTATATTTATACGCGTAAACTACTAACGGCATCATTAATACCGAGAAGGCATAGGACGGATGCTCCTTGCGTATGGTACACCGGTGGCAGGATTCGATCCCTCCTGGCGTAGGAACGACACTCGGGGGAGCCCATGTACTGCCTGCAGTCTCCTCTAGTCGGCCCAATGCTTGGGGGGGGGGGTCGTCGAGGGTGGGAGAGTGACGTTTAACAGCCTGCCGACGAAAATTGGGGGACAACCCCCTCGCTTCGTACCCTTTTTTTTTCACTTCCCGGCGAGGTTTGAAGGATGGAGATTAAATCGCCGTAGACGGCAGTCGAGTGTGCCTCCCTTTTTCTTCTCCATATACAGGCTTTCGTCGCTCTCAGTACGTGGTGGGACTCTACCCGTTGACGTATATAGTATTGGGTACGAAAAGCAAGCTCGTGGGGGGTGTTTCGGAGTACCTCGCACTTATACCCCAATTTCCTTGTACATTCCCTCTTTGATCGCGTCGCAAAGTCTCTTCGGCCCGATCGGCTTTAGTTTATCATATACTCTCTAAATTTTAAATAGTGATAAGTATAAGTACAACTTTTTCAAAATGATCCATATGCACTGTGAAATAGTGAACATATACTATTTAAAGACAATTACAATATTTCAAAGTTTTACACTTGTTTGAACTTATTTGAATAGTGAATATTCAATATTTTTCAATATGTGTCACTGTTTAAATTACTTGGTATACAAACTTATTATTGATACACATTGAAAATAACGTATATAGGTTGTTCAATTATCTTCAGTTGGATCAAGATCGTCCGTTGTATTATTGATAAATATTTAGAATTAAAATTTATATCGATTGGGTGTGAATAAACGATCCTAAATTTTCACAATTTCGCCAGTGAAAATCTTGTTCACTTTCCACTATTTCAAACTGAGAGAGTAGTTTTCCCGTTCTGTTTGATTCAATAGTCACCAGGCTTGGTTGTTTCATTTACTTAATTGTAAAAAAAAAAAAAAAAATCACAATTTTCCACAAACTTTTCCGATAAAGGTACGCAATTACGCAACTTCCAAGTCCTCTCTCGTACCGCGCGTAGGCCATCCTTATCGTGGCGTAACATCCTTGGAAAATTTAACGGCTCGTTTCCTCTCGACCGGTGTTATCTAACTGCCCTCTCCAACTCTCAATGTGCGTATCAAAATTTTCACCTCCCAATAAAACACACATAACACGCCACATCTGTCGCATGATAATCATTACGTCGGACAAAAAGTGCAAGTGTATCGCGCGTTTTATAAATCACGTATACCATATACAGTTCATTGACCGTACACGCGTATGCATAATACAGCCGAGGCTCGCTTACGTATCGCTGTTTATGAGGTTTTTGCGTCGGTTTTTGCAATCACTCCAACATCGTCACATGAGACATGCGTACAGATACTCTACATTTGTGCACGTATACTCACTCGCACGCGCGTACATAATACATAAGTAGGTGTTAAGGGAATCAGAATGTAATGTATACGACAATGAAGGCAGTTTGCGAGGAGAGATATTGCGCGAAAGTCTCGACAATATACGCACTATTTATGTGATATTGATCCATGGGGGGTGGCATCGGCGACGTAGCGCCACACCAGCTAACCGACGCGTTAGAGCAGCGCTGTACCAACATCATCGCGAAAAGCGTCGACTCGGAGGGAGTTCAAAGGTGTATATATATATATACGACAACGTCGCGCGTGATAACCGGCAATTTTTCTTTGCACTCTCGCGCGCGTTTACGTTTGGGACGTATAAAGTTTTAGAGGTGCTAAAGTTGACGGGTCTACAGGGCAGCACGTGCGTTTGTGTACACGACTCTCTCGCTTTTAAGTTTCATCCCAGCGGTAAATTTTTTTTTTTTTTTTTCTTCATACGCTGTACGCAGGAAATAGGAATGGTACGTTTTTACAATCGAGTTTAAGTACGAACTTCGGTTCTGGTAGAGATTGGTTTGCGAATGGCCGATCTTAGATTTTGATTGCAAGTTTTAGAGTTATTATAATAAATGGTGTGTTTAAGGTATAAATTCGTCACTTATAAAGGGGGCATAGCAAGATAATGATTGTACCCATTGAATTTTCAGTGTGACTCGAAAAACTATTATTCGTTTTTTTTCTTCTGCTAAAAAAAAAAAAAAAAAAAAAAGTATTCCAAGGCATATGTTTTTACTTTTATGCAAATAGATTTAAAAGTGGATCTTACATTTTTTTCTTTTGCAAAACAAAGAGTTGCGCAGAAACAAAACAAAACGTGCATAATCAGAGTGACTTCACTCGAGTGGAATTTCATTCGAAAGAGTTTGAGCGATGCTTTTTGTTTTGACGACAGCACATGTTGTTGCATCGTTCGTGTGTCTGTAATACATTATTTTTTTTTTTGTTTTCTTGAATGAATACCCAATATTAATTAACTCACAGTGTGCACGTACTCGTATGTGCACATATTATTATGCCCGCAATATCCATATTATGTTTATAAGCTCTTTTGCCCTCGCGCGCGCACTTGAATTCATAATGCAAACATGCTCGTATGAAAGCCCACTCGAAATGATAATATACACTGCATCTTCAGACAAAAATACCCACTCTCTTTCTCGGTATCAGGGACCCTATTTCTTATTCACATAATTTTAATTCTCATAAGTTAAGATGGCAAATAAAATAAGCTTTACTTCAAAATTATTACCAACGAAAAGTTCATGCAGAATCGATTACACGCAACATGCATTTTTAAGCATATTATTCGAATCTGATGTCATATTGCACATGATTTTGTAACACACCAAAGAAATAAGATACAATTCTTCACTCGATGCTGTTGTTATTATGACTCACATTTATAGCAATGATGCAACACTCGCACAGACGTGGTAAGGTAGATCGCTGCTAGGTAGATACAATTATTTCGGAAATTTTGATACCATGCGTCGGTGCGATAGAAATCGCCTTTTACTATTAAACACAAACCAAATATAATTGTTCTATTATGTTTATTCAGCGTATTGGATAATAATGATTTTAATTATTCGACTGTTTTTCTGTTTGCAGCAAAAAAGCAAAATGGAGCAGCACTGCGAACAAACAGTCTGGGCTCCGGCACGCGGACGCCACCGCTCGAGAGGAAGAGCAAGTTTTCAGCGTTCGGTAGACTCTTCAAGCCGTGGAAGTGGAAACGGAAAAAGAAATCAGACAAATTTGAGGCCGCGTCAAGGTGTAAGTAGAAAATACGTGATTTTCTTGATGTTTACGTTATGGGTACTCACGTTTAATTTTTTTTTTTACGTTTTAGCTCTCGAAAGGAAAATCTCTGTTCGCGCAAACAGAGATGAGCTTGTACAAAAAGGAATATTACTGCCCGAAAGCCCCTCGTCGCCCATTTCCGAAAACAGTACGTATACTTGGCATTTTTTTTTCTCTAATCATAGATTCAGGTATAATTGTAGAGCCAGCCTCATCTTTTGTAGTCGAAAAAAAGAAAATAGATCAATTTTATTATTCTTACTGGCATCAAATAGAATAGAAACCTTCTTTATCAGTAGTAAGCAGAGCTCTCCACAAGTTCACTTCCATATCGCGTTTAAAGCATTTCCAGTCCTCACTCTGCTAAATATTGTATCAAATTCAATTTTATCATACGTTTTTTCAAACAACTTTTATTTTCAAACATGACAACGAAATTATTTTACCATCAGAAATGAGCATACATATAAACAAAGGACCTAAAAAACATGTTTCCTAAGGGAAAAAAGGCTGATTTTTGTTTTAAAAATCCCCAGGTCCATCAGGCGACACGCCACTTTCCCAAAAGCCCCCGACGCCTCAGCAGCAGCAAGCTCATCACCACCACCAGCTGCAGCAACAGCTCGCCCAGCAGCTGCAGCAACAGCACCAACATCAGCAATCCGGCGGTGGGGGTATGCCCGCGGCAACGCCAACATCGCAGCAACAATTATCGTTTCAGCAAACGCAACAACAATCGCAGCACCAGCAGCAGTCGCAGCAACAGCAGCCATCGTCGGCAACGCCGACACCTACCAGTGCCAACCCACCGGGTAGCAATCGAAGCTCGCCCCATCCGTCGCCCCTTTACCCGGGGATGCCCCAGCTGAATCAGAGCAACGGTAACTCTCAAGGTAAGGAGCCCGTAGTCCTTGGTTTATGTTACTTTTTTCTTTCAGGAGATTTTTCTGGTGCTCTTGTCTCGAGAGAAACCTCTTTAGGGTATCAGAGCGCGGAATTTATTTTTTAGAGTTGCGTAATTGATCTCATAGTGGGGGTATGAATCGATAACAAAGTGATACACGAAAGGGCCTCGGTTACATAAAAATAAAACCGTTTTTCCTTTATCTGGAATTTAGTAGTACACGGGCGCGAGTGTCCGTCCGACGATATCGAGCTGTTTTTACTTACGCAATACTCCTGCTAGCATCCGAATCGTTGGATAAAACTAACGTCAGAAAAATAGCCCCTACCTTATCGAGGTAGCCCTGACGCAGGCAATTCCCAAAGGTGCGAACCCACAGATAAGCGAAAATCCCTATATAAACGCAGCAGCCCGTTTCTTCCTTTTTCCAGGTAAAAGCATCAGCGTGAAAATTGTTTATCCAGTCATCGCGAAAAAAAATATCCCCAATCTGAGCCTTATTATTATTGTTATTCGCATCAACCGACCGACAAACCGACGTGTAAGGAAAATTCAGCGAGGAGAGCGACAACAAAATATGCACAATTTGTAAGCAAGCTGTGCAAGTATAATACCTGCTCGTTGTAATTCAGGCTCCCGGCGATTTTCGTGGTTTGGCAGAGCTATGCGGAGGTAGAATCTCCGATGACCCGATTTTACACGAGGAGGTTCATAGATACACACCCATGAAGTACTCGTGCAGGGTGAGGTGTTGCATCGTGGTGTCACGGACAGAGCGACGCATTCGCAGCGTTAATATCGAATCAATGGTCGTCGCGGCGAGGCTCTTTTGTGCACCTGTCTATCGATCTAACGACTTTCTCATCCTTTTCACTCGAAGTGGTAATTTATCGAGTCGGTGCCTTCGTTACGATCCCTCCCCTTGGATTCTCGATGCGTACTCCCGGGCCCCTCGTACAACTTGCTCTCTGTCTGATTGCCACTTCGGATCGGGTTCCCGGAAACTTGACTCTTTCCTCGTGCTTGCTGGGGGGACTTTTTTTCATTTTAACGGATCAATGGATTGTTGATTTTTTTTTTTTAATTAAAACGTCCCGTGTGCGAGAGGAGAAAAGTTTACGCAAGCGCGAGTTTGTTTTTTTTTCTCAATTCAAAGCGCAATTTTTTTTAAAAATCCACCCGTTCCTATGGACACAGTGAAAACATTGCATCGTTCTTTTTTGACGAAACATCGGTTACACGTCTATATACACACTTCAATAGCGTCAAAAATAGGGTAACTTTGCTCGGGATTAATTTAAAGGTTCAACAGTCGGATATCCCTCGTATTCGCGATTGATCTCCTTCTAGCTCAAACCCAATCAGATAACCAGATAAAGTCTTATCGTCCTCCTCTTTGTGAAAACATTTTTTTTAACCCCCAAGAGCGTACGAATCTTTATTATTATTATACTCCAACGCGGTAAGGGGGTAAATATCGTATTTCAATAATGAAAACCACTCGAACGCGCACCCCGTCTCTCCCAACTTCTCGCTACAAGTAATCCGTTTTCCGATTATTCTCCCTCTCTTTCCTGAATCGACGACTTTGAACTTTGAACTGATGTTCACGCCCAACGTCATCGTCGTCCCAGACGACAAGGATATCGGGTTCCCCACCCCTCTTATATATAGTATACAGGGGGGAGTCTAAACCGAAGCCGCGTAAAGTCAACGCAATACACGTAATCTGGAATAGTCGTTTGGGTCCGTAAATCAAGTTTGCAGCGGATCAATGACCCTGTAATTTGTAGGTACATGTGTATACTTATATAGGACTCTTTGCTGTCGATTTGGAATCACGTTTGTGTCAAATTTTTAGTAAAAGAGGGGGTGGATATTTTTTCTTTCACTACGTGCAGCGTGAAAAATAGAGCTTTGATGAAAAAACAGTTCAGAGGAGGGAAAAAGCTCGCGGATATTATTTTTTGTTAAAGGGAAATGGAAAAGGCATGTGGACCTATGAATTTCAATTTTCTTGCACGTAGTGAAGAGGAAAAAGGAAAGAAGCTATTGTGATCTTCTTTACGCCCCGTTGGAATAATGAATATATATCGAGGCGATGCGTCAGGATTTGAAATGGCAAGTCATTTGTATAAAATATTGTTGATCATTAGGTTTGTTTGATCGACAAAGATACTCTTATTCAGCTCGGTCATGATCAATTGCATCACTCCAAACGATATAATTTAATCCGTAGTCGTAACATTTTTTTAAGATCCGCATGATATACTGCGAAATATACCCTTATATACATTTTCCAAAGATAATAATCCAAATAGTAGGTGGATCGGTACCACAAACCCACATCCTGGTGTAGTTGTATCACTCATATAAATGTACAGAGATGAGTCACTTGAGGTAACAATAGCGTTACGTGACTGGCGTGTAGTACATATAGGTCTGCAGCGAATTCGCATGGGCGTGCAGCACAAACAATAACAACAATACTGTAGCGTGTAGGTATCATCATGTCTCATGCGGTACGGGTCATATTTATACACTATGTGTCTACGTCTCGATGCTTTTACGGTAAGATGGTTGCAAAATTTTACCCGTTCAACAGAAGTAAATGTTAAACAGTTTTTACATGTCTTTAAAAAAATGGCCCACAAACTAAATGGCTCTATCATGGACATCACTGATCTTGCTCTTGGGAAAATAAGAATGGCAGGTTAGAAAACTTGCGGAAACAAGAAACATTTAATCCTGCTTTTTTTTTTTTTTTTTTTTTTAGGAATGACAAAAAATATTTCGAAGCATCATCCTTAGAAAATAGAGCAATATAATTTTACCAAACAGACCAAACAAATATCGCTCTTGTCCGAAAAAAAGGCCTGTCAATCTTTTTCCCCGAGGATACGCGCTCGTGACTCGAGAAAAATCGCGTCAAAAGGAAAAACATCCGTGTGCACCTCGCACGAGTCCAGTCACCCCAAACTCAGTGACGATTTGTCTCAATCGCTCGAACACGCGACAGGGGAATCTCTTAGTCCCCGTTCCAGAACTTGGGTATTTTAGCAAGACAGAAAAAAAATAAAAAGCCGAGTTTTCCATCGGTCTTTGGGTTTTCCCACCGCTCCCAAGATAAATTACTGCGAGCCCCTGAAAAATATCAGTCGACCTCTCGTGCACCGGCTGCTAATTGAATTCCAGCCAACAGTTAGCCCACACTCTTTTTTTCCCCTCCACACCCAAGTTCTCGAGTATTGCCCTTCTTTTTCCCGTTAGCCCAAGTTTTTTCGAGAACGGCGATTTTTTCATCATAGAACTTGGTCCCTTCCTATACTCCCTTTTCTTTGTATCCTCGTTATACCCCAGCCCCTCCTACCACTTGGTCCGACTTGGTCATCACCTTACGGTTATTACTAGTAATATTAATATCGAAAACATGAAATTAAAGTCCGGAGGAATCGTCAGGTAATGAACGCACGTGTGTTGTTTGATATTCGCGTCCGTGCACTGTATACCCACTGTATTGTCATTGACACACGCATAATTAATTGGACACTGAATCCCAGTTGCTGATCATCCCTGGCTATCGAACGTTACCTGCATAGACATGCAATCAACGAAATTAGTCGTTTACACAGCGCCGAATTACATCACACCACAATTCGCTATTCTCGTATAACTAATTTGATCAATTTCTGCAACTCTACGCCTACGTAAAAAACTAAATCCTTGTCATTTAATTTCATCCAACTACCCGAAGGTCACCTGGTAAGCTAACCATTAAAAGCCTGCAAACAATCCTCGCAAGGGTATAACTCAAAAAGTTCCAAGATACTCGTCTATACATCCCATGAAAAAGTTCAATTAGACGCTCTCCCGCGCGTCTGGCTTGGGGTGAGGTCACGCGGGGTGGGGGCGAATTTTCGGTCACTTAAACATCACTCAGCCCCCGCACAGCGCGCCAGACACCAGGAAACTTGGCCCTCCTGTACATCCGCGCGAGCGTAGAGTAGTAGTAGTTCTGAGACGAGCTCGCCATCGGCGTATACCTCACCACCACGCTCCGCTGCTCGAAGAGAGGAAAAGGGAGTACCGAGCGATCGATAGCCTCGAGTGCGGGTGTAGGCTCCGGAGAGCCCTTCCTCCTCATCGCCGTCTGCGCCGCGGTGAATTTCACTTTCCACCCTTTGGTTTCTTGCCTTCGACTCCGTACTGTATAGGTGTACAAGTATAACTTCTCCGAGCGAGGGATACGTATGTGTTTTGATGGCTGCGAGTAATGTGCTCGTACACGGAGGGTGATACGCCAAGTGGGACGTACTCCTTCGATGAGGCGTTTTTCTGCGAGTGAAAAAAGTTGGGGTTTTTCACGCCCAGACTGCGAAAAAGGCCGACACAAGGATACACATTTTATCTGCCGCTAAATTAAATTCCATTTTTTTTCGGAGTAGGTGAAAAAGATAACAAACGGTGGTCCGACGCCGGTAATCGCAAAAGCCCACGCAGACGTAAATACGCACGACGTTGCGAAAGCCTGCGAAACAAAATATTGTTGGCTAGACATTCCTCATCACGGGATCAATAATTTTTTTTTTTTTTTTTTTTTTTCCAACCAATTGAACTGTTTTTCATTCCAGTGCGTCTGACATATCGTTGACTCGTACTACTGAAGCGCGTTTGGAAAAATTTGGGATGAATTGTAACTATTAAAATGTTTACAATGTGAAATTGAACGGAAGCTCGGTAATGCAATATTAAAACTGCCTAAAAGACCCGCAAAGTAAGCAAGTTTTTCTTCTCTCCGACCTTCGGAACAAGCGTTTAACGGAGCCCACATGCACGCACGATTTCTCCAAACAGTGGAGTCTTCGCTTACCTTGAAAAAAAAAAAAAAAAAAAAAATTCAGGAAGAGTCAAATTCCGGGCAGTTAGATCGAGCTGAGCGTGATTTACTTACCAAGTGCTACCTTCTCGGTAGGTCCCTCTTTTGAACTA